TAGCCCCTGCTGGCCACAACTAGAGAAAGCCCGCACGCAGCAATGAAGACCCAATGCAGCCAAAAAAAAAAAAAAAAAAAAAAAAAGAGTAGTTTGAACAGTACTTGTCTTAATTCTTGTCATATAACTTATTGTATGGAGCAAACATCGTTTCCATGCCTCAGCTAATTGTCACACACCTTTTGAAGTTTCCGTTAGCTTCCAACACTTTATCTTTTGCAGTGAAATAACTCTGATAGTTTGTTTTTTTAATTTAATTTTTATTTTATATTATAGTTGATTTACAATGTTGTGTTAGTTTCAGGTGTAGAGCAAAGTGAATCAGTTATACATACACATACATCCATCCTTTTTCAGATTCTTTTCCCATACAGGTTATCACAGAATATTGAGTAGAGTTCCTTGTGCTATACAGTAGGTCCTTATTGACTATCTACTTTATATATAGTAATGTGTATCTGCTAATCCCAAACTCCTAATTTATCCCTCCCCACCCCCTTATCCCTTTGGTAACCTTAAGTTTGTTTTCTATGTCTGTGGCTCTATTTCCGTTTTGTAAATAAGTTCATTTTTATCATTTTTTTAGATTCTACATATAAGTGATTGCATGTGATATTTATCTTTCTCTGTCTGACTTACTTCACTTAGTATGATAATCCCTAGGTCCAACCATGTTGCTGCAAATGGCATTACTTCATTCTTTTTTATGGCAGAGTAATATTCCACTGTGTGTGTCTGTGTGTGTGCATGTACACACACAGACACACACCACACACACACACACACACACTGCATCTCCTTTATCCATTCATCTCTTGATGGACATTCAGGTTGCTTCCATGTCTTAGCTATTGTTAAATAGTCCTGCTATGAACACTGGGGTGCATGTTATCTTTTTGAATTAAAAGTTTTCTTTGGATATATGCCCAGGAGTGGGATTGCAGGGTAATATGGTAGCTCTATTTTTAGTTTCTTAAGGAACCTCCATACTGTTTTCCATAGTGGCTGCACCAATTTACATTCTGTGTGGGTGTGGTTTCCCCTAATCTAAGGCTTCCCCTAATGTCAATGCGTTACATAAAACACAATAAGCAAGTGAATTCCAATCTTCTCTGTTAAAGGTGAACCTGGCATTGCCTGTCAGGCTATGTACAATGTGGAAAGGAGAGAATATAAATAAGGATTAAATGTGCCATGCTAGGAAGGTGGTCACGGGTTCCATTCACAGAGAACACTGCAGACCCCTGCTTCAATGTGTATATGTATTTCTTAGCACGTGCACACGAATCTTAATCCACCCTCCAATGTTACAGAGAGTCTGGAAGCCCTAGAAGCACTCCAACATTTTTAAAACCACTGTGACCAGCAAAGATACACACTTTCAACCAAATAAGATCGATCCCTTTAAAACTATTAAGAGACTTTCAAAATCCTTGTTTTGAAAATGTCCCAACCAAGTAGGAGTACATAACTGAATTGAAATTTTCTGTCAAATCAAGGATGTGCTCAAAAGAAAACAGTGAAAAACCCCAACTTTAGAAAAGAGAACTTTTGTTTTGTACTTACTGTCTCAGGGCAGGAGAACTTGGAAGAAATGTGGAAACTGATGAGCTTCTCACCCACGAGAATGTACGACACCCCATAGCCGTCATCAGCAACCTACGGAAGAGCAGATTTAAATGGATCCGTAGGGGGACTTCCCTGGCGGTCCAGTGGTTGAGACCCCGCGCTTCCATTGCAGGGGGCATGGGTTCCATCCCTGGCCGGGGAACTAAGATCCTGCATGCCGCGGGGCACGGCCAATCGATCAATAGAACCCTGGGCAATGAGGCCACGGGCAAAGGGAATTTCTGACATTTTCACTATGAGACTGCCATCAATATCTGCAGACGCTTGGCCGCTTACCGGTCCAAAGCCGCCTCCGCTTGACACGTACTCTGGATTCCTTTCCAAATTGAACAGTTCCACCTGCTGCTGAGGGGTCTGGCTGGTGGATAATCTCCAAGGCTCAGATAGCACCTGTGGAGTAAAACAAGGAAATGTTCCAACAACACTTCCCAATTCCATCCTCTTCTGTTCCCGAGGAGCCCGGGTGGAAGACAAGAAATGGCTTGCTCGGTGTTCACACTGTTTCAGACACCAGAGGCCTATGTCCCTGAAGGTCTCGCCGGCTCGGGGCAGAAGGTCTGCGGAGAGGGATCGAGCAGGTGAGGACACCCGGACTGGAGGGGCCAACACCAGCTGATGGGGTCTTAAGGCAGGGAAGGTGGCAGATACGTGGAGTAAGATTCGGAACAGGGGCAGTGGTGTGCTGGAGCTGACTGGTACCAGCTCCCCTGAGATGGCTGCCATATTTCCGGAATTTTCCAAGCTGCTTGTTAAACACAGCCATTATTAAAAACTTAAATTTTACTGGGACTTCCCTGGCGGTCCAGTGGTTAAGACTCCACACTTCCACTGCAGGGGGCATGGGTTCGATCCCTGGTTGGGGAACTAAGAGCTCGCATGCTGCGTGGCACGGCCGAAAAAAAAGAAAACAACACTCAGAGCTCATCACCTGCTAATTATTTCCGTACAAGCCATGGCATTCCAGGGGTTGAAGAAATGCGGCTCCAGTTCTCCATGGTGAGGACAGTTGAGCCCCAAGACTCACCTGTGAGGCCAGCTCCGATTGGCAAAGCTCTACTACTGATCTACTAAGTCTGGGTTTAGCCAAGAAAGCTGAGCGGGCTGCCCCAGAAGTGACTCACCTCCTTCAGGAAAGGGGAGTCAACTGCGAGGTATTTGGACACCACGTAGAGGCAGAAGAGATGGCGGTCGATCCCGGAGCCGGTCATCGCCAGATGGCACAGGTGCTGATGCTTCTTGGACGCAATCTTGAATAACTTGAGCCTCTGTTCAACCTAAAGTAACAAAAGACAGGGACTCTCAAGTCGTGCATCATGGGCTAAGCTCCAGAAAGAGGCTCACGGCCCTTCTCTCCAGTGGTCCGACAGGGTGCTGAGAAAGCAGGTCACTGGTGGCGGTGCGGGGGTGTGTGTGGGGGTGTCTCTGGGTGGTTGCCAAGGCGACCTGACCAGAAACCCCACTGGGCCGACTGCCGCTTCCGCAGATTCGCTGCGAACGGGGCAGCGTGGAGGCTGCAGGGGGACAAGTTGTTGGAGAGGCAGTTTCGGGGTCCTGTGTGCAGCCCACTGGGCATCATTCCACCTTTTATACAAATGAGACCCCAAGCAGGTAGGAAAGCTCCATCCTCCAAGTCTCATCAGGTGGAAATGACGGTCTGTCCCTCTCAGTGGGCTGCGATGTTCCTGTGCATCATAAATAACCCTCCAAAGTGGTCTGGAAGCTCTACTAAAACAGCGCTTCTGGGGCCTTCAGGATGGACCCGAAAAGCCTGCTTCAGCTTCGTCTGGGCCCTGTTCAGTCAATCACAGAACGAGGTGACACAGCACCCTTCCGTGGGATGTGGAGGCCCATCCGGGCTTTGGCCCACCCACTCCAGAACTGGTCCTCAAGGCTGATTCTGAAGGCAGCTAATGACAGATCAGAGCAATCCGTCACAAGACCTACTGAGCTCTTCCCACAGAACCGAAAGGCTTTCCAGAACAGAGTTTCCTCCAGAGCAGAGCAAGAGCCCGGGGCCATGTCTCCTCGGAGGTCAGCAGGCACCTGCACTCCGGGTCAGGCAGAACTGGCCGTGGATGGGCCTCAGCCCCTAACTGTTTGCCGAATTCATCTAAGTCTCTTTTCCTTTACCTACAAAAATGAACTGATGATACTCATGGGCCACCGCTAGGATTGTCAAAGGCAACGTACAGAAAACCTGGAGCCCCAAGCCTGCTCAAGGAGCTTCGGCATATGGGCAGCGGGCTTCAGGAGCCCCGAGCAGAAGGCTCCTGTGATAGCCACTGTTTTCCCACCCAGACACCGACTACTTGCACTGTCTTGCAGCATCTCCCTGCCACTCCTTTATTCACTGGCTGTGTACTGCTCTGATTTGAAGACTCTTAGGAAGTATAATCTGATTTATAGGAGTTACGGAAGGACAGAAGATTGATGCAAACATGAACCTTTGTGTCTGTCCTGACAGTTTCCTTTTTTCTTTTTTTTAATTTTTTTTTTTTTTTTTTTGCCACTCCACGAGGCATGCAGTATCTTAGCTCCCCGACCATGGGTTGAACCCGCACCCCCTGCAGTGGAAGCGCGGAGTCCTAACCGCTGGACCACCAGGGAAGACCCCGACATTTTCTTTTTTTTTTTTTTTTATTTTTTTTTTTTTTTTTTTTGCCACTCCACGAGGCATGCAGTATCTTAGCTCCCCGACCATGGGTTGAACCCGCACCCCCTGCAGTGGAAGCGCGGAGTCCTAACCGCTGGACCACCAGGGAAGACCCCGACAATCACCTTTTAATACCTTCTGTCCCTTCGAGAGGGGTGAAGGAAAGGAGATGCTGGATACGGACCTGCTGGGTCCGTACGCATGGGATTTAATCAGGGAAGGCTGCGTGTCAACCTCAGGGGCTGTTCTGTGAAAAGCACTGTCCCGCTCCCGGCCGGGCAGCACCTACCGTCTGCGTGGGGTCCACCATGGCCAGCACAAAGTTGCACGACTCAGTGGTGCAGGAACGCACGGTCTCCGTCCTGCCCTCTCGGAAGGGCCGGGTCATGGAGGCCTCGTAGGTGAGGGAAAATTTGCCCATGTCCTGGGAAAGGAAAAATATTTTAACACAAGGCAGGGCACGTTGACAAACTAAAGCATAAGAGGGCATCGCTTAAGGTCAGCCGGGAAAAGCACACTTCATCGTCAGCTGCAGTTTATAGTCATCGTCAGCTGCAGTTTATAGTCATCGTCAATTTTTACTCGGGCTTATGCAGCAGGCAGGTGGAAACGTCATTAGCTTTGCAAAGGAAGGGGGCGGTCCAGGTTTCTGTTTCCAAATGCAACTGGTGCCATGACCCGATTTCCTGAGTTTCACACACCTGCCCGAGTGCAGACGTGACTACGGAGGGATACAGGACAGGACCAGGAGATCGGCATGCAAGAGTAGGAAATTATTTAACTTCAGGAGAGGGGACCGATTGGGAACGTCCTCCTCCAGGGAGCGGGAAGTGGGTGGGTGGCCGGCGCCTGCAGCGCACAGCCCCCCCCACCCCCCGCCCCGGGTAGACAGGAGGGAGAGAAAGCAGGAGGGAACAGCTGTGTGGGAGCTGGCAGAGGCAGTGGGAGGCAGACAGGAGGTCTCTTTAGAATGTTCACGTTTTCTCGGTGAAATAAGTTCATCTACTCAGAGTGGGGATGGGGAGACGGCGCTGGAGTCAGAAAGTGGGTGTGTAACAGGCTCTAAGGGCACAGAGAATGGTGGTCTGGGGCCATCAGAGTCAGGGCTCATGAATTAAGGAAGATGAGCCAGCGATTTGGGGTTTTTCTCCGGCCGTGCAGGACCAAAGCAGGCAGACACCTGGACTGCGCTGGGGATGGGTCTGCTGTGCTTGGGGCCCCAGGGCCGAGGTCGGGGTGATGGTGACAGGCTGTGGAATCCAAGTCCAGAGAGAAAAAGAGGGAGGCAAGATGGGCAGAGGGAAGGGCAGGGTGGAGGCCCTGATGGGGTCCAGGAACGCTGGTGTCAGGGAGCAGAGGGGAGACGGGATGACGGGAAGGGCTAGAGGCGCCTGGGGCTGGGACCCTGCAGGTGATGTGCGGATGGCACAGCAGGTGATGCATGAGAGCTGGGTCAGGTCCACGGGAGCTCGGGGCAGCCCAGCACCCGTGCCACGGGAGGAAACCATCTGCAAACCACCTGCTCCAAGACAACCAAGTTCCCCCATGTGGACGGGAAAAGTGCTGAGCGGCAGTTTGTAGACCCAGATGATTCCTGACCAGACGACACCCCTCTGGGCATTTGGGTCCTGGTGGCCCCAGGGTGACAGGGGACACCCTGCAATAGGCCAATACTGTTAAGTAAATTCAGGAGCGGGCAAGGCTGAACCCCCGGTGTGTGAGCCAGACCCGCGAGTAGCCTTGCAGGGCTCTTCCCCCCACCCCCAAGGCTGGTAGGGTTGACTTAACATTGGCTGTTCCCACCATCCTGCACGTACAGGGATGAAGCCAGCCGGCCATGGGGTCTGAGTGCCATCCCAGCCTCTGGTGGCCCCCAGCACCCAGCACAAAGACCCACCAGCTCACAGCACTCGTCCTTTAATACACTGGTTATTAAATTTCCCTTGGATGGGGTCCAAGAGGTTCTAACTCCTCATTCTGGCCTACGGTCAGCAGGGGGTCCCAGGTCATTTACCAAATATGCCTTTGGGAGAACTCCCTACAGGAGGGGAGCTTACTATGGGGGTGCTTTCCAAGGGGCTCATCATGAAACACTGGGGGGAGCACGGAGGGAAGGAGGGGACAAGGAAAAAGTATAAATGTAGTACTTTAGTCATTTAATACAGGTTAACTTGGGATAGATGATGCAATGATTTATTTGAAGTCAGCTTTCCAACATCAAACTTCAACTGCACAAGTGGTCAGCGCAATCATGCATTACATCCACAATTTAAAAAAATGGCCATCTTGGGCTTCCCTGGTGGCGCAGTGGTTGAGAGTCCGCCTGCCGATGCAGGGGACACGGGTTTGTGCCCTGGTCCGGGAAGATCCCACATGCCGCAGCGCGGCTGGGCCCGTGAGCCATGGCTGCTGAGCCTGCGTGTCCGAAGCCTGTGCTCCGCAACGGGAGAGGCCACAACAGTGAGAGGCCCGCGTACCACAAAA